ATAACCTTAGAGAGTGGCCCACCCAATTCTGATACCTCTTTACCCCTTCCCAAGCATCATTAATGCTCCCAGCTAATGTACACGTGCACATACACATACAAACATCCCAAATTGATTTTATTATTTAAGCTAATCCTTTTTAACTGGACTCTCATCCAACAGGGCTATGTAGTTGCTCCTTGATGGATAGATGTCTAGATAGATACTTGCAACTGCAGGCAAAGCTAAAACATTGGGATGGTTTTATCAAAGTCCATGTCTTAAAGTTCAGATTTAAAACATATGTGTATTATGTATATATGCACATGCATATATTTGTAGATAATATTCAGAGCATCTAAACTATGGCCAGGAGATAAAATCCAAGCATAAAGATCACGGTGCTTCAACATTATTATATCTGGTTACTATAAAAGTGAGAAAGACACAAATATACATATACAGAGAGTAGGAATACAATGTTTAACTTATGTTTTTTGCTCTCACAATTGCCCTCATAGCACCTACTGGTATATACAAATAACCCACTTATTAAAACAGTGTAAAAACTGTATTTATACACTGTGGACAAGAAGAAAGGTTGCTTCTAGACTGAAGAAGTTGAATAAACACTGCCATGGAAACTGGTAGTTTACGTGTTCCTTGAGAAATTCTGAATTAATGAAAAGAAATTTCAAATACTGTAGTAAGATAGTTGAGGCAAAGTAGTGTTTAGGATAAAATTACCACACAGGTAAACAATTGTCGTATACCTTCTCTTATTTACAAACAGAATGTGTGGCCTGAGCATTTGCTGTTAATTGAAAATGGATGTTCGTCTTATGTCACTTACAGAAGAACTACAGGAGGGTTTGGCTATGCCTGAGAGAGCAGAACACACACGTGTGCTGAAACCAATGAGGGTAACACATGATCTGTAGAGAATTGTTTTCCTTCCTGAAGGTTGTTCTATAACCCTTGGAAATAATCATATTTTTTCTTAGTTTTACTTGTTTCAGTAGTTAAGTTTCGTTGCAAAATTTACCATAATGTGATCCCTTTCTGTGGAATCCCAAGGGTAAAACAACATGAAATTCCTTGCTCAGCATAGGAAATGTGTGGAAATTAAGTAATGGCATTCCACCTTTCTGAGTCTGCATAAATTGTGCATTATATTATGTTCCTTATTTTGCAAATTTTGCTGAGTTGGAACACTGAACCACATGAAAGACGTAACCAGCTACATTGTTAATTATCACTGTATTTCCATCAATTATACCTGAATACAAAGATCAGTTCAGAGCCCCTGTCCTGTAAGGTTCAGATTCAGTAAGTCGGGGTGGGGCCTGAGAATTTCCATTTCTAACCACTTCCCTGGCGGTACAGCTGCTGATGTCCCAGGGGCCTGACTTTGAGGGCCACCCAGAAAATGTAACCTTATGTGAGGAGCTGGGCCTTAACTTATAGACAGATGCATTTGCACCATTTCATTTCTGAGTACTTTCAGTAATAGCATATTTAATAAAATGTAATATTTTTTTTTCTTGTAAGCATGGTGTGCATCTATAAGCTCAACAATATAATAAGAAAGTGAGAAGGGTTTTCAGAGTCAAACACTGATCGTAAGTCCTCTTTTGAAGGATTGCAGGTAAAAACAAGCCATCAATAGTTGCCATGATTTTTGTCATTCCTACAGTGCTTCCAGGAAAGTGGAACTTTACACATTTAAAGCTCACGTTTGCCATCTGCTGACATTTCTGTGAATTACAAGGGGTCTGCATCAACCCAGAGCTGGTGTATGTTGTGTTCAAATATTTTTTTGTTTTGTTTTTTGTTGTTGTTGTTTCTTGATTTCCAAAACCCATTAGGCAAATTTTAAACATGTATTTTCCCCAGAAGCACTGCATTTTACAAATTATTTCAAACAACCAGTTTGTGTTGAACGTATTTTAATTCTTCCTACTGAAAAATGAAATTGCAAACTTGCACCTCAGTATACCTAGTGTATATATGCGGTGAATTTTATCAATAAAACATTTTAAGAGGCTACTATACTGAAATCTTTGTTTTAAGCTGAGTTAGATGTTTATGTATGTAGACTGCTTATAATAACAGTACACTGAAGAGGAGCTGAAATTAATCATGCTAATAAGAATACCAAAACAAAGCAAAGCAAAACAAAAAATCATTCCCAGAGATGGGGGACGAGGCATTCTGCAGTTTTTATGCATACTCTTTTCCAAAATTTTCCTTTTAAGTCCAGGGCTCCACCTTGCTATTTATTTAAGAAGGTCCTATGCTCCTGCTCCCAAGTTCAGCTTTACAGCCTTAATTAGGCTGAATCAAGCGTATTATAACTGAAGTGCGGTTATGGACTCAAAAAGGGATACACTATTGAGCACTTCATATCGGCCAGTCCCTGTGCTTAGTATTGCACTGTCATTATTCCTTCAATTCTCGCAACTTCCCCGCATCTTCATATCTCTACACCCCAGATTAGGGAGCTGGAGTTGAAAAACAGCGGGCAAGTCGTCTCAGGCGACTCCGCACCTACCAGCCCTGCCAGTGCTGCCAGCAGTCACTCACTGAAGATACATTGGGGTTGTTGTTGTTCCGTGGGTTGGTTTGTTTTTTTTAAGTCCTACCAGGGGTTGCAGGGTGAGGGGCTCAGGCCTGGCCCCAGCGCAGTGAGCCTGGGTCTTCTGAAGGAACCCGCAGCCCAGCAGTTAACATACAATTAACATAAATAAGGACTTGACGGTGGTAATTGACAAAAATGGGGGGCTACCCACTTCTTAGAGGGGAGCGAGGATGGGGGGCAGTAAGCTGGGGAAGAAGGTACAATTGAAGCTAAGATCTGCTGCAGGAGCAGAGCTTTCCCGTTGGAGAGAAGCCCCCG